TTTGTTAGAAGCACCTTCTGTTACTGCAGGTAGGCCCCTTAGTGATGAGGGAAATAGGAGTGAGCTCTGAACTCAGTAGAGATAAAGGAGAGTAGCTGAGACAAATGGATACATGAGAAATAGGATCAGAGAACACACCGGGACAAGTGAACAAAGACAGGAAGGTCTAAGTTGCCAACCCTCTGAATTACTTTTAGAGATCCCAATCTGAAAGACAACACTCAAGAGTTGAGGAAAATCATTAAGCTTCCTGCAGCTGAGAAATGTCTCAGCAAAATGATCCTAAATAATAGCTGGCACAGGAGACTTCTTGTCAGAAGTGTTTTAAGTCTATGAAATACCCTGTTGTTTTTGCAAGTTGCCATGTAAAAAAAGTTGTTTTTCCCAAATTTCAGTCATGAAGAAATCAATACATTTGTTTAACAGCATATCCCTTAGAGCACTGACAGACCTTAAAAAGCTTGATGACACTCGGAGCATGTTTCCTGATAAGACACAGAGGTCAGAGTCAAGTGTCAGCAGTAGGTAAGAGTTTACCCAAACAGGTATTTTCTAAAAGCAAGAAGGCAACAGTGTTAGAAATAACCCATGATGGGGGTTATTCCCAAAGATTATTACAAATATTTGTCCCATCTGGTCAACTCCAGGCTGCCTCAGGGCACCGTGGAGGTGCAGGCCTGCAACACAGCTGGGGTAGGAACAACAGGATCCTTGGTCAGGCCCAGGATCTCTTCAGGGGGACAGTGGTAAAAGGAGAAACACACTCTCTCTTGTTTAACAGTTCGAATGAAATTTCCACAAAACGATGTGAGCGTTCTCGCCACCACTTTGGTCTCTCCTGACTGGAATAATAAAATTCATTACTCTAGAATACGCCAAAGGAAAACTGGGGAATCGTAAATTTTTATCTGCAGTAACACACATAGGGACAGCAAGGCCCAATGTTAATTGCTTTTGATCTTTTCTAATGTAATTTTACATAGATTTGTTTTATGAGGCTATATTGCCTAAGTGACTGCATTTGTCTGAACTCAGTCTGTTTAGAATCACAAAAATGATTAAATCTTGATTTAATAATTAAAGTTAAAATAAAACTCCAGAGTCGGTCCAGTTATTAGGGGAATTAACCTGGGAATCTGTTCAGTAAATATGTTTGAATCTGAATTAGCCTAAAGGAGACTTTGAGACAATTTCATCAAAAAGATTCTCCAGGTTCTTAAGACTGGTGAAGGTTGAAGATTTGATTTTTAAAGACAAGCTATTTGTTTGTGCCTTTAAGTATTTCCAAATACATACAATTACAAAGGTAGAAGACCCACTTCAAGGACGGTGTTAAAAGTTTTAGCCACTTCACACAGTAGATAAAAACAGAACAAGGATGAAATTCCCTAACTTTGCACCTCAGGTTTGTCCTTTACAGAATTATAAGCTCTTCTGCTGAAGGCTTTCATTTACCTGTAGCAGTTCACAGATTCCCTAAAAACAACTTCCTGCTAAAAGAGATGAAAGAGCAGAGAAAGGACCAGACTGTCCCCATGCCAGGCCACTGAACTACCTACTTCATGTCACAAGTATCCAATTTATAATGCAGAAATACAGCTATGAAAAGAGAATCGATTCTTCCAGTTTGAGTTACAGGTGTGTGATAGTATATGTGAGATTAGCACCTAGCAGTTCGGTCTTTCCACTTGATCTGTCTGGTGGACTCCAGATCAGGTTCCAGTATCACCACTGCTTACTCAGGAGACTATTCCCCATAGCACTGTTATGAAGGGGTTGAATGAAAAATAGGGAGAAACATGTCACTAGGAGGAACATTAAGGATTTTGTCTTTTGAAAGACCCTTTTCACCTTCAGATTTCAAAAAGCGTCTCTTCCATGTCATACACTCCCATACACACCATCTTTTTGCCGCAGCTGACTCCAGCTTTATGACAATCAGTGACTGCCTCCTAACTTCCTGGGACGAGAGAAAAAACAGATTTCATTACCAGCTACAGACATTGTCTAATCCAGAATGAGATTTTCACTCTCTTTCAGACAGAGCAGCATTGACCTTAACAATATTTGTTGCAAATTAGAGTTCCAAATTGAATTAAGTTGGAGCTAACTCAAACCATAAAGCTGTTGGGTTTTTTGTTGTTTTTGTTTTTTTAAATCTCTGTGCCTGAAACAGTTATTAAACAAAGAATAAGAAAACAAGCACTTGAAAAGCATAAATTAATGTATCTAAACCTCAAACATTCACAACTAAACATTCCATAGGGATTTAGAAGTTTTGAAAAGCCAGAACCATAACCAGCAAGTGAAGGAAGCTAAAGCAAAAGGATCCGTGTTTTCTCCTGCCAGCTGTTTCCAAAAGCTTCCTTTAAGGTTTACTTGTGTCCTCAAACTATCACCGACTTTAAAGCTACTGCCTCCAAGAAAAGGTATAAAAATATAGTTTTGTTTAAAAACAAGCTAAACTTCAGTCAAAATTAAAATATTCACCACTAATTCATTTAGTAGTATATGCAGTGAAGATATGTTTTTACACAACCCGTATAGCACTCCTTAGTTCCTTATGTTTTTAAACATTTAATTTAATGGTTTTCAATGATATAGCTGTATGTTTTCACTGCTACAGCTAATGATGTTGCTCATCTTAATAAATTTATTTGGTTAGGAATATAATTGTGAAAACCTAAGTAGGAGGAAGGAGATCCTGTGCACCTTTATTTTCTGAAATACACTTCACTTCAGTCAGCCTTAATTGACTCTCGTTTCTCAAAGAGCACCTCTCTACTTCATGGTCACATTTGATTGAATAATAACTAATGCACAAAATCCTTTAAAATGTACCTTTGTTATTTAAAGAAAATATAAATACAGAAGGTGGAAAAAAATCACTGAACATTATTTTTCCTTTAAAAATAAGTTGACTATTTCCTCCTCAGAGATTATCTTTCTCTTTTATAACTTAACATAAATGACTCCTTTCTGTCATATTTGAGCCTTCATTTTGCAAAACTACTTGATATACGGTGATACTAGACTAATGAATGGCTGGGACAAGTGATTCTACTTGGAAACAGGTACAGCTTTACACTCCAATGTGATAGCAGTATGAAATGTAAGTTCTTTTCTATGGATAGTTAACAGTACAATTGCAATATTAAAACAGACTGAGAATTCATGTCCAACTCCATTCCCCATAATAAACAGCACCAGCAGCCTGGCGTATGATTGTCCCCTTCATTCATCACCATGCACAGCCCCAGTTTTTCTCTATAATCTTAATCTTTATTTCTCAAGACAATGAACTGAAATATTAAAATACTTTCTGTTCTTTAACGCCTCACAGGCTTTGGATAAACCTGAATTTCCAAATCCATATTGTTGAATCATACAGTCAACATCCTACCAACAATCACCAAATATTTATAGCTTTATCCATAAGTAGATTGAATTTGCCACTCTACGGCTACTCAATACAGAACAGGCTTCCTAAGAAATACTGGAATTCACACCTTCCCTAATATGTTAACAGTGGAAAACTGCTAACAACAAAAACAGGTAACTGATAATATCAAGGACTCTTTGTGTGGATTAACATACTACTAAATGCTGTATCACACAAAATTAAAAAAAAATCCTATTATTATAAAAATAATAAAAATAATAATCCTATTATCAACTAGTAACTGGTGTTACTTCATGGCTTCTGTGAATTCACAACATTTTAATTGAGAAAAAAAAATTCTGAAGATGCAGGCCAAAAAAAAAATCTATGTAGTCCTCTAACAGACTAAGGGACCAGTATGTGTCCCACCATAAAGATCGCTTGCCCCCTAGTAAAAACATAGCCTAAATGGTAACAGCAGATGACTTACAACTTTTATACTAAGCAACATATTTCTGAGCCATACATGTGAACTAAATGTGAGCCTTGACACTGCTACCAATAAAAAAATCCCATTTTTTGCAATGAAAGACTGTGCCATGTTGCATATGAATCCTAAAGTATCTCTTTAGTCCGTCAAATATTAGAACTCACTTGCCGAGCACTACAGGGCAAGTTGCTGTGCAATTGCAGTTCCCTTTGGAATACATTAGTGATTTTCACAGAAGAGCAGATTTACATTAGCTCAGGTAGTTTTCTTGATTCCATTCTCTTTTTTAATAATTGCATATAGTCTGGTAAAATATTGAAATATATTCAGGCTTATTCTCAAATTCATCTTTATACTACCTTTACTAAGTGCATCTAAAATAAAATCAGATTAAAATATTTGCTTCTGGTGTAATATCAGCAAAACAAACACAGTGTCAGTGACATGCATAACTTCTAGCGTTAATTCAACATTATGCTCAATACAATATGTGCACCACATTTTCTGAATGCCCGTGTGCCATTTAATTTAAAAAATAACATATGTTAATGGATTGCTCTATGACATTGCTGGCTTATTCCTAGACGGTAAGAACAGATATGTTTTCTTAGTTATTATTGACATCCAACTGTACTGTCATTAAAAATCAAGACTTAACTACCATGTTACAAAAAGTTACTAAACAAAGGCAAAACATTGAAAACATCAACAGCATTTGAGACTGAAAATATCAACAACACTGCTACTACATAGGGAAAAAGTTATTTTTAAAGGTTTATGCCACTGTGGTAAAATTAATTTGTATTTTTGTAAGAGAAACACCTCCCAGACAATTTTTTTTTCCAACTGTGCACATATCATATTGCAAAACTAAAGGAAAAGAAGGGGCATGCTCACAGAAGCTGCAGAGAGGAATATCATGCAAATGTCCACAACAACTCACAAATTATTAGTAAGTTATCTGAAAAACAGGTAAGCCTTTCATGCCAAACATTGCTTTCATTTCAGTGATAGTAACTCCCCTTGCCTTTAGCAGGAATTACACACGTGTAAATAAAAGCAAATGTAGGCCAGGAAACAAGTCTACGCATAAAAGAAAAGGACTTAAGACAGAAAAAAGGCTCTAACCACTTTGTCCTCCTGGAGTTCATATCCACGAAAGCAAGAAAGAAAGGACAGAAAAAAAAAAAAAAGACAAAGAAGGAAAGAGTCACTTTCATTCTGAAAGCAAGCAGTAGTATTTGTTAGTAAAATAAATGAACAAATTTCAAAGGAATTATTATATGTCATTCTTATTTCCCATAGTGGTGAAGAGGATCCAGTGAAAAATATTTCATTTTAATGATTTTCTTATTTTTCTGGGTGAAATTGAGAAATTTTATGTATACAAGAAAATATTTGTACAAATTAAAATTATTTTCTTGGTGGAATTTTCTAAGACATGACTCCAAATTATTTTGAATTACCTTAATAAAACAAATGAGGCATGTCATAAAAAGGATGCAGAATTTAGCTCCACATGCCTTGGACCCCAGCATTGCAAATGATAAGCATGCATCAACCTTTTGCACTTGCACTGAGTCCAGTGAAATGAAGGATTTTTGTTTATTCTAGTCAGAAATAGGGGATACATTATGGCATAACTGCATGTTCATCATTCAATAGCTCTTTAAAATATTAGGGTTTTAAAGCACAAGGAGACAGAGTTTCTCAAGCATTTATTGCATGTCATGTCAGATCTATATTACTTATATACTCTTTTTCATATTCATAAATATTGAATACAAATATTCCCAGTATTATTTTCCTTGAAGGAACTGTCTTTCTAGCTCAAAATGTAAATGGATTAATACTTCAGAAAACAAAAATATTCAAAATGGTTTCAGACAAAACTATTTCCCATTTTTGTGAATGATGATGAAAAATGCATAAAATGAGCGATATTTTCTGGTACCTCAATGTCACATGCCAATACATAGACTAAATCTAGGCATGCAAATGAGCACTTCGCTGCGTTGGAAATACAACTGCTCACATAGAAAGGGTGACAACTCATTTTATAGCTTTATTATTCAGATATCCTTATGACATGTAACTTTGTGCTCCTGTGCTCTTACAGAAGTTTTAGGTTCCCCCCAATGCTAGAGACACAAATAGACAGGACAGAATACAGCAGAGCCAACTAAGACAGTCAAGGGGCGGAGCACACAAGGAGAACCTGAGGGACACAGGATTATTTAGCTTAAAGGCTGGGATGTGGATGGGTAAGGGAAGAGGGGAACTGTTCGCAATCTTCAACTACTTAAAGATAAGCTATAGAGAAGACAAAGTCAGAATTTTCTTGAAGAAGCACAGCTGAAGGACAATGGGTTGGGCCGGATGTAAACAAAGAAAGAAAAAAATCTCAAGAGTTGATAAGTACTGCAAGAGGTTGCCCAAAGAGGCTATGGAATGAAACTCCATCCTTACAACTCAGTTGGATGAGGTCCTGAAAAACCTGGTCTAACTGTGAAGTTAATCCTGCTTGAAGCAGGAGATTGGACTAGATAACCTCCCCAGGTCCTACCACCCTCAGCTTACTCTGTGATCCTATGTGCAGTGGTAAAACCTAAAGCATTTTCAAAGATGCTAGAGTTTTTAGAGTATTCTCAGTTAAAGAAATAGGAGACAGCATTGAAAGCTATCTAAAACCAAAGAACTTGCAAGCATTACCATTCAGTGTGTAGAGTCATTTATCTGCACAGCATAGGAAAGCACCACTGCTTTCCTGGCAGGGCTGTCTGTCCCACCACAGTAAGAGTGGCAGGAGTTGTTCATAGATGTTTGGAGTGAAAACACCTAATGCCTCAATCTCTCATTCTCACCTCTGGAGAAATACACTCTACTATACAAGAGGAGCATTACCACGTGTTTTTAGCACAGAGGCTAAATATTTTGAAATCATAAATGCCTGCCTGGTTAGGTTCCTTTCTTGGTGAATGTCTCTCAACTGCAGGAAGCAGTAAGTAGGGGCACAGAAGAGCAATTGGGTCAGACTAGCCCCGCTCCCCAGTATAAGGATACAGACAACAGTTAAAAACTGTGTTTTGATTTTAAACAAGAGAGCTTGACAAAATTTAATTAATTCCTACAAGTAATGCAGCAGGTAAAATAGCAAATATTGACAAAGGTAACGTTTTAAATGCATGAAAAAAAAAAATGCTATGATTTTTATCACAGAACTTAACTTACTGTTCTACCTACCTAGGCTGACTACTCTTTGAAGCTGAATTGTCTGTTTCTAGCACAGTATTTACTGTCTTAATAACTTTTAAAATCTTGTTATTTAGCTTCAGTTTTTCATAATCTCCAGTGCACCAGTATTTCTGAAATTTTAAAACAGACTATAAACAATGCCTGTGAAATTTCAAGAAACTGCTTAGAAATAGTGCAATTTTGAGTATTAATCCCGTATAATCTTCACTATGCAATCCCCATAATTTGATCATTTAATGATGTGGTGTTATGTGTAGCATTCTCCTCAATGATACACAGTGAAGCATGAGACAAAAGGCAATAAATACAAGATAAAACTTGGGAAATTCAGACTAGATGTAGGAAATTTTTGTTTAGTTTTTAAGCGAGAGAGTGGTGAAGCACTGGAACAGTTTGCTCATGGTCGCTGCTGAATCTCCATCCTTGAAGACTCAAGCTCACTGGGCAACGTCCTCAGAAAACTAATGTAATTCAAAATTCTTTGAGCAAGAGGTTGGGTGAGACACCTTCAGAGGTCCTTTCCAACCCAATGATTATTCAATAGTCTGTCCTCACTAATTAAGAAAATCTAGCTATTTTAGCCTTTTTAAATAGCTTTCAACTACACACTATACACCTGCATATATTTAAACATTCTGCTTAGCCATCAATATGAATCTTTCCCACTTTTATCTCTTTTCCAAAAATAATGACTAGCATAATTTATTCAATGTCCTGACTATTTTTATGCTACTCTAACATGGTGTTCCAGTCTATCCAAATTGTAAGTGATAATTATATATATAAAATTTTAACTATTAAATATTCTAATAGTCTTCTGCAAACACGTGGATGATCTACCCCTTTTCATACTGTGAATTATGTTCTAATCTACATTTTCCACTCAGTAGTTTTCACCTAAAATACAAGGATCTTTAGAACATTTAAGAATAAAACCATCATGCATAAGAAACAAGTTAATATAAGAAGAAAAGTAAAGATGACAATATATAAGCCAGTAATAGAGAAAGCTCATTTCAAATCTAAAAGACAGAAACAAGCTCTCACTGTAACACTGATATGTATTGAAGAGAAGACAGCTTTAGAGCTTTGAGACAGTTTTTCTAATAACTACTCTTTCATCACTAGATTCTAACATTAGAAACTATTGTCTCATAAATATTGGTCTGGTAACACTTTTCTGTTCACTTTCATTTTGCCAAATCTGAATTTGTGTTCAACAGTTTCCAATAGCTTAACTTTACTTTAAAAAATTTAATAAATTTATTATTAATCTCAGAAAAGCTAAAGTAAATGCTAAATACATCCTAAGAATGTAAGCAAGGAGAACAGAACAACTCATATTTCCTACAAACTCAGTCAATATTTGTGAAAATTGCAGCAGATAAGTCATTTTCTTGTATCAGTAAAGAAGTCTCTTCTCTCTTAGCTTAAAAGATATTCCGAAGTACAAGCACTGCTTCAGTAATGATTAAAATAATACACATTTACTCATTTATAAACTATGTACTCATAGGAGATGTAAGATATTTCTCAGAAATTAACAGCGTAAGGAGAGTTTTAAACGCTTCAACATGTCAGTGTAAATTCTCCAATGCAAAGCAGCAATTCCAGAAATTGGTGGCTTTGGAGGCAGTTCTGACTCTAAATCCTGTCATTCACACTGTAACGTGTGAATCCCAACAGATCAACAAGACTTGATTCAGACAGAATCTACCTATATGGAGCAACTTGGAGGATGAAGTGTCTCTTTTCAGAAACAGGCAATGAAATTTAAAGACGTGAAATTCAAGACAAGCAGTTACCCCTCATTAGACACCTAGGACTACCTCCAGCTTCTCAGCTGCTTCCCCCAGCATTGATGCACAGCATTTGAGTTCACACCAGTACAACATAAGGAGTGACATGTCTGACCATATGAGAGACAGTCCAGTCAGTCCTTTCAATAGCAAAGATATTTAAGAAATTATCCCATCCAGTTCTCAAAGAACAAATGCTTAAAAAGCAACAAATTGGTCAGATTGTGGCAATATTTATTTGGTTCCATGTGAAAATGCAAGTACATTTTAACATCAGTTTTGTGGGAAAAGGCTTTTACCTCCATGAATATTCAGACAAAGAAATGTGAGTAAAATTACTGGAATTTCATTCCATATTCAGAAGAAATGTAGCATTAAAGTCAATATCTACACCTTATCCTTTAAAAAATGTTAGAAGGTGAATCTGGTATTTGACTGGGTAAGCCAAAGCCACTGTTCAAGAAAGTATGTTTTCACCTTAAGTGCAAAAGTATCAGTTTGCCTAATATTATCAGTTCTTCATTGTGTCAGGATCATAATAATCTCTAAGGTTTTTGAAAGCTTTGAAACAGAGTGAAGAGTTCAAATATGCCTAGCCTCTGTTGAAATTGAAGCTATCATCTGCTCTTTAATGAGATTCAAAACAGCCACCAAGTGAAAATAGCCTAAAATAATAAAGCGAGTAACAAAAATAGTTTCTGCAGTTATCACTTGAAAGAAATGATAATATCCACAAAGCTTCTATTAGAGTCACAGATATATTTTTTTTCTGAAGAATCAAGAGTACCTGAGGTGTCAGTACAGAAATGCTGCAGCTGGGTATCAGTATTGCTACGTATAAGTTCGCATGAGAAGCTTACAGGCTGGAAAGGAGCAATATCTCCTGGTTCAAAATGATTGCTGTGCAAGCCTTTCATCTCAGTACCAAATGCAGCAATGAGAAGAACTACATTTCGCTAGGACAGCTGCTTCTATACTGCCCCGTCACAGCCAGGGCCAGCGGCCTAGCCAGGGCCAGGAGCAGGGCACAAAGGGTGATTTCAGCCAGGCCATGCCCCCACCAACAGAGCTGTGTCCCACAGTCCCCACACGAGGGGAACAGGGCAATCCCAACAGGGCCGTGGTGATGAGGCAGAACCAAGGCCGGCCAGGAGGCCCAGCCTACAGATGCAGGTCAGCAGGGGCACAGCCCAGCCATGGCACCAAGGGAATGACCAAGGCCGAGTGCCTGAGCCAAAAAGCAGCCCCAAGCAGGGGGTGGAAGCCCCCACAGGGCTCCTTCTCCCACCACGTTACCTGGGCTGACCCCAGGCTACAGCTGTGTCCCATCAGAGCTGCCCTCGAGCACAGGCAGCCAAACACTGCTGGGGGTGAGGGACGGGGAGGGAGTTGTGCTAAGGACCATGAGGTACATGGCTGAACTGTAGTCCTGCTAGGTTGGGGTATAACTTTGCAAAGCTGCTCACCTCAAATTCATGTTTTAACAGTCATGGATGGTCACTGTGGTATTGCTGTTTTCCGATAACCATGACCAGAGTTCAGGTATGCTGGAGGTCTTTAATGTATCTGATAATATGAACTCTATTCTACACACAGAGGGACTGAGATGAGAAATTCATCCCAGTTAGAAGGATAACTTTTACAGTCTCCAGTTGTGAATTTTAAACTTTTAAATAGGAGACTGTCTTTGGAATAATTCAGCAACTTCATTTTCTTTCTTCCTGAGATAATGGCACAGAGATTCTTCAGAAAGAAGACTACAGTTTTACGTTATCAGATTCTACGGGTGTTACATGGCCTAAACTAAAGAACAGGAAAAAAAAATGGTTTGAAGAAATCCTTTCCATCAAGTCAGTAATGTCACATGTCTTTTCCAGAGAAACACAGAATCGAACAGTGTCTCTTAAGGATCAACTTATTTGTATGCGACTGCAAATCACTGTGTTTATTCCAAATCCTAGTGACCTGGAAATCCTGCCTGTGACAGACTAATTCTTTGGTGCCTGTCAATTGTCAACAGAGTGAAATGGATTACACTTTGTGGCTGCATATGGATGGTCCACACTGTACGTCCTGCAGTTGGAAATGCACTCAACAAAGAAGGGAAAAGAACTTGATGGTTCTCTAAAAATCAAACATAACCCCAGAGAAATAATCAAAATGCAATTTTTTGACAGAACCAGAGGGAACTGAGGGAAATTTCCTATATACATGTATACCCTGTGTAGTTCAAACACAGATGTTAGGCCCTATAAAGCAACTGAAAATCTCTAATTTTTGATGTTCAAAGACAAAGAGAGAAGAATGTTTCAGTGGGTGTAACTGATAGCAGACTGCTGAACATCCTTAAAGCAGATATTCACCATACTTCAAATTAAGTTTTCACACAAGTATTGTTTTCTTCCTCTAGGAATGAAAGGTTGATTTACTGAAGTGGTATTCTGAGCTGTTGAAAATTATATTTACTGCACACAAGTTTTATCTATCTGAAGGCAGTAGATGTCAAACATTTTAACATATAAATTTCTCAGCTGCTTAAGTCTCGTTCTGCTGTCTACTGCCTCACTCTCTGTATTTTCCTGTATAAATCAGTGTATGATTAAGAACGAATAGCAGTGTTATCTTGTGTATCAGTGGTACCTATAGCACTACAAATTGTTGTTATAAGATTTATTATTTGAGAAACACAATTGTAATCAATCTGAAATTTTTCATAATCATAAGAGATGCCAGTTTAAGCTCCCTTATTCACACAGAATTTAAACTCCCCATTCTGGTTGAATGCTCCTATCCCTAAGGACATAAGCTGGAGCAGAGAAGCAGCAGTACCATCATTATCAATTTTATCTGTTTGATCTAGAAGGAACTTCCACATAATAATCCTTTTTGTACAAAATGGACTTAATTTTAATGCAAGCATATGAATCAGCTCTGTAAGTTTAATGTTTTAGCTATGTTAAGATAAAGGTATAAACTTTAGTAAGGGGAAGTCATGTCTGTTACATTTAATTCCTTCAAGGAGTCACTGAGTAAGTGATACCTGCTGATATAGCTGAGTTTGGCCTCTGGGATTTTAAAGAATATCAGTGGCCGTGAAATAGGAATTAATTATTCCATAAGAAAATTTTATTAGTTTAAGACAAAAAGAAAAGAACATGAATAAATGGTCAGGGCTTTTTATGGGAGAGGTATCACCAGTGAAGCCTCACAGAGAATCTCTCTAGAGATGCTCTGTCCAGCATATTCATAAGTGATCAAGAACAGAAAGGAATGAGAGTCAGAAAAGTTTATTTACCACACTAAATTATCCATAGTAGTAGAAAAATGTCAACAGAGAAGAGTTGCTGACCAGACTCATAATACTGAAAGCAGAAGTGGGCTTGCAGAAAGACAGATTTAGATTAGACAAAGAAAAACTTTCTAAGCAGTGGACCTAAGAGGGTATTGGAAGAATCCACTGGAAACCTGTCAAGAGACAGTACAGAAATTTCTGCCAAGTTCAGATTCATCCTGAGGAAGATTCCTTCCAACTCAAACCATTCTCTGATTCTAAATGATGTCTCAGAACATCTCATTAGAAGAAGCCATCCTCCTAATGCTTTTATTCTTTGACTCTAACTACTGTATGACTCTACTAATGTAGACGTAATGAATCCAAGAAAGTGCCTCACAATGGTATTTTATAGTCAGATGATATCAGTACAGGAATTATTATATCTCTGATTAATGGTAACACAATTTAGTTATAAAAAGCAATAATAATGTGAGCTCACTCAAGACAAAAGGTTCTATACAAATTTTAAAATTACTTTTAACAAAATTTGGTCTTATCAAGGCAGTTTGACAGATTTACACATAATCTCAGTTACTTTAATCATCAGCAAGTAGCAGGTTCTTTTCTACCCTGTCAATCAAAACTTGAGTCCATTATTTAAGCCTCCTTTTCAATCTTGGACAAAAAATACATAACGTTGTCACCTGCCTTCCAAGCGATTAAGATAATATTTGCAGTTTGCATGGTATTTGCAATGACTATTACAAGAAGAAACTGATTTATGGAAATAAATGATACTGACAAACGATTACATTAATAAGTGATTGTATTGATTTACAGAAGATGTTGCAACAAAAGGCTAGCATAAGGAGTCCTGAGTAGTCAAGAATATTCTACAAATATCTGTCTGAAACTAAGAAAGATGTGTGAGATGCCAACATTTTATCTAAAACACTAAATTTAAGTTCTTTCAGAACTTAAGTTTTCTGATTACCTCTGTTCTACTGAATGTTTTATTCTATGACCAAATTTCTTAAAAAATCAACTTGCTGTTTTACCTGTTGTTGTATAATAAAAAACAGTATACTAGCTGAAGCTCCATACTGTTAGTGCATTGCATTTTTACTAAGAATATTTTAATGTAATATACTTACATGTGTATATATATGTGCATAAGTTTAATAGATAAACATTTTAAAAGGCTGTAACGTACTCTATATACTGTTCTGGCACTCACTTTACAATAATCTTGTACAGAGGATTCTGGGCAAGCATATTATTAAAACAAACAAACAACAACAAAAAAAAAAAAAAACCTTGCTCTAATTTGGAATAGTCACAGTGTCTCAACATTAGCATCACTGGATCACTAGCTGTATCTCCCGGCCTCCAATACACAAACTCAATCCTCTATTCAAAGAATTGTACTTGCATAAGTCTTACAGTAGAAATGCGGCATGTGCTAATGTAAAGGACATAGTCACAAATCCATCTGCAAAGGGAAATTATTTGAAATGAGGATAGATGTCTTAGAAGACCTTAAAATAGATATCATTTCATCCTTTAAGGAAATTTGTTTCAGTAGCTATGTGATTAGGATGCATAAGCAATGAATAAAAGACAATGAGGTTAGAAGCTTATTACTAAACTTGTGTAAATCCATACCTTATTTGACCGTAAAGACACTCTTCCTCCACAGCGTGCACAGAATTTAGTTTGGCAATATGAACAGTTATGGCCACAGCCATCAGCAAATTTTGTTTTGTGGCAGATGCCACAGGTTGGGGCATCACCCTTCTGCTCCTGCTGCTGCTGTGATTCTTCGCCCATCTTCTTCACTTGCTCCTTATACATTTCAAACTGCTGATGTAATTTTCTGCAGAAAAAAAGAGATCATTAACAGTTGTTTTTTTTTTTCTTTTTATTTAGGCCCACAAATACTTCACAATCACTAAACCACAATCAACTTCAGAACAAAAATCAGAGAGAAATACGTGTAATTTATGATGCTCCAGAGGTGTAACCTTCAAGAACTACTACTTCTCCAACTGAACTAAACTCTAGGGGGTGGCCCAACACTAATTACACAGTTAAGCTGTTACAAAGACAAGTAATTTGCTTTGGGATGTGACCAAGCTGTGAGCTGCAAATACAACAGTAGGAAACATGAAGTGAGTGATTCATAATCCCATGGTACTAGATGATAAACTGGTTAATAGCAGGGAAAAAAAATCTCATTTGTTTTTCCAAGTGAACTTTCACCTAGTTCCACCAGACACATGCAAGTATCTTATCTTAATATACCTTATCTTCATTTATCCAGCAACACTGGATATTGCCAATATTGCACAGATTAATTATGCTAAAATGCTTTATCATTTATCAAGCAACGGGTGCAACCACAAGCATATAGCAAGATATGTCAACTTAGCAACTTACTATCCATTATTTAAGCCATTCATATCATTATATATGTATAGTGACCACCATCTCATGCCACCTCACGATAAAGGACTACCTTAGGTGTAAAACCTAGGAACAATGTTTTCAGACACACACATACGCACACACAGAAATCCCACACATTCTACCTTCCATTTCCAGTGGACTAGGAGCACATTCATATTCAGCTACCAAATTCATACTGCAACAATTCTTTCTGGCATGCTACTTTAGGGGAAAACTCCCCTAAAAATATTATTTGTGTTATACCACAGAGGAGTCATAGGATTTAAGAGGCAGCTCCCACCCTTCATCAAGCAAGGCAGGAGGCAGGAGGTAGGCCTCTTCTGTGCAGCAATGGGATGTCTCCTGCTCTCAGCCCCCACTGGCCTTTTTCCAGAGAGAAAGAGGGTTTAATTCACGCGACTTATGCCTCATCTTTCTAATCTATTGGCTGTTGTCACTTGAGTTCAGTTTTGAGTCCACACACTGCCCTCAGACCGCAGCAGTCCCTTGCAGGCTGCCAGGAGCTCTGGCCTGAGGCAGAGCAGAGAGGCTCCACTGCACCCCTGGCCCCACAGGAGGGACATGGGGACACCACGGGAGGGACGTGGGGACACTGCCTGAGGGACGTGGGGACACCATGGGAGGGACATGGGGACACTGCTGCCTGAGGGGTCAGGGGCAAGGGGCTTTCTCCAGGTCCATGAGCTCACTGCTGACTGCTCTGTGTTGAATGAGGCAGGACACGACTCGCTATTAAGAAAGAGCTGGATGAAGTTGAGAACAGAATTTCGTTCTGGAAATCTGGCACATTTCATCGTTTTACACTGACAGCACTATACAACGGGTAGCTGGCAGTCTGGCCCATGTCCATCAATAACACATGCAATCCCCGAGACCTTGCTTGCTGTTTAATTTTGCCAAACATTGTGTTCTTCATTTAATGCATATTATCTATGCTGAACTTCAAGTTTATTTTAGGTTGCATTTAGTTTTGTGGCTTCCTTTTAATCTACAGCCTTTGTTTTTATGATTATTTTCTTACCAGTCTCACTGATGCATAAAAAGCACAAGCCTTTTGGCAATTCCTAAGCCTCATGTACTGAAATAATTTCACTTTTGTTTCCTCTTGGGCACAAGCATCTATGCAAAGGTCACCGTAACTTTTGCCTCAATGTATAAACTTTTCAAGGTTACTTTACAGAAAAGTTTTCTAAAATCCTTGTTCTAGAACATGTTCTAGAAAAAATGTTCTTGAACATTTTTTCTGCCAAAATAGTTCATTATTACATCATTTTCTGTTTCAAGAAAAGTATTACACATTTTGACAGCTGTTGGAAAAAATTAAACACAGAAGACAAACATCTGTTAAATAAACAGACTACACACAGTATGCATTCTACTTACTGATAAGAACCACTTGAAATGAATATGCATACTTGAAACAAAACAAAAAATAGAAAGTCCTTAAAGAAAAAACCTTTCTATAAAATCTAATAATTATTTCTCAACATCTAGCATAAAAGGGTTTAAGCAAAAAATAAAAAATAAAAATAAAAAAGGCAGTGTTTCTGTTTGTAAACCCAAATAATTACATTGAACGATACAGTAAAAAATGTTTAAGTGGAAAACTTAGCAATGGGTATTATATCTACGTGTATTTGGACAATGGCCTCAAATAGCACCATCACACGCCATCTCTTTGTCCTGATGCAAAATCTCTCTCCTTTTCCACACACAATGTTTCCAAACACTACAAGAATGCACTTTAACAACTGTTGTAGTTTTAGAGGAAAATGAGAGGCTGGTAGGAGTTTACACAAAGACTTGATACTGATGGAAAGTTGAGGTGGAAAACCTAAATGTAAGTTCTGGTCATTTTAATTTCCTGTGAGAATGAGTTCCCTGAATCACACTCATATCTGCTTGAGTTCATGAAGCTTGTATCACTAGTCAAGACTTGTGCACCATAAAGCTATATACGAGATAGCTGCATAGAGGACATCTGAGTATCAATGCAACCATTTGTAGAAGCTGTCAAGGTCAAAAAGGTATTTGTTTTGTTTTCTGGAGAGGAGTTCAGTTAATTCTGTTTCTCCTTGGTCCCCCCCACCCTTCTGGCAATGAGAAATGCAGTTATCAATCAAAGAGCAGGAATCCATGGGCCTCTCATGAACCACGAGCTACTGCCAATGGTAAATAAGAAGCGCAAGTTCAGTCATCTGACTTCTGTTATTACGATGCAGAAGTTGTTCTCTTCTGTCCCCCAGAAATGCCTACAGAATTTGCAGTATTTTATCCCCCCCCACAAAATCCTTAATACTGACAAGAAGCTGCAAAGCCACTGCTGCCTTACAAAAGTTCACTTCAACGTTTCCGAGATTTCCAAAGCTGAGTACCCATGGTGCAGAAGGCAGACAGCAGCCACTTCTCAGTTCCTGGCTATGGTTCCCTCAAAGTTTTCTCATTATTTTTTTTCCCACTGATTGAAGCCTGTGCCTCATTTCCGATTCCCAGGCACAGAGCACGGATGTGGCCGGAATCCAGACTTCAAAAAGGGTTTGTTCACTTTCAGTTCTGCCAAGTCCCTTCATTCAACCATTTTTTCAGTACAGTGGCAGCAACCACCCGTTAACAGATACATCCTTCTTCCCTCTATGGTATCAAACACTTAAAGCTTTCTACTTTTACAACAGTGATAGCGAACCCACCACTAATCACACCCACTTCTTATTGGAATGGATATTATTCTTACACATGTAATCCCATGTGTTAGGGACAACTGACCAATGACTTCACATGTATTTTCAGTGCTACATAAGGAAATGGGCAGCAAAACTTTGAGTTTATGCCTTCATACTGGCATGTGGAGGCTATAAAGAAGTAACTTTAAAAATAAAACTATCTTCAGAAATGCAAAAGAGAGCTTTCCTTAATCGCAAAAAGTTGGTTTTGCCAGTATATGGCTGAAATGAGAAAGGAGACCACATAAAACTCCTTTTCATAAGATCACGATTTTACTGTAAGTCCAACAGATAAAAAAAAAATATTAAGCAGTGGAAGACTCAACCCCGATTTCATAAAAGAAACTCCCATCAAATACTGTTTAAAATGAATGAGTTATCATACAGAGGCTGATAACACAACTGCAGTTTCAATGTCACTCATAATTCAGAGTTTTGAGCTTTTGTACCAGTGAAAATGAAACTAGATGCCAGCAGTGATCTCTACAAACATTCACTTAACCCACAGTCTTTTAACTTTCTGTCAAAATGAATTTTCCACTGTCTTATTAAGCTGAAATACAGTGTTAACTGTCTGGTTTCCTTAAATGAACAATCATTAACTATTTTCTACTGTCAGTAGGCTTAACTTCAGAGCTAACTACCTCAACTATATGTCTAAGCTTCAGCTTTACCCAAAACAAATTCTACTGAAAAATATTTTAGAGAATGAAAATTGAAAGAAGTTTAAAAACACAACTGTGCAGTAAAATGCTACTTTTTGATCTATGCTGGTGGGAACTTAGTATAGACCACTCTTAGAAGTAAAAGATATGGACAGGAGGAGGTCTTCAAGCTGCTCCAGATCCATTTTCTCCCCTCATCCTATATTAGGGCTTTTTGCAAAGACCACCAGTTTGCACTATTCCACATTCTCTGTTTATTTGACTTCTTCCACCAAACAGCAAATATTGCTCATTGCGCTGTTCTTATGTCATAATGAATTAGTCTCGTATGATCATAAATGTGCTTGCAACTACAGACAAAGTCATATTGAATCTAGTTTATTTATTAAGACACTCAAAAAAAAAAAAAAAAAAAAAGACAAGCAAAGATGAGGGGGGGAAAAAAACCACTCCGTTTTAACAAATGGGTAGGATAAGACTGAATAGACTGAAAGTCTAACTGTAACTGGAAGGATCACAAGGATTACCTTAGCTGTCCTTTTTTTTTGTCCTTTTTATATATATATATATATATATAAAATATATAAAAATATATAATATATATATATATTTGTGTATATATATACTGCCCAGTATTGAATAAAACTGCGTCCTTTGTTTAATAACTTTGTTTATTAGCAGCAGTGAGGCTGGCAAGGCAGCAGTGAACAACAGCATTCTAGGTACAATAGTCTTGCACAAGGCTACAAGAAAAAGTAAACACAGAGAAGATTAACATATGGCCAACTAAAGGCTGATCCAATTAATCTTACGATATTTCTATGTGGGTTTAATGACAGCAAGATAAAGACAGAATATGCACATAAAGGAAAAAAGAAAGGTTGTGTCTGTTCGTTCCAGGTTTCCTTAAAAAACACTGATACTTGTTTCTTCCTTTTCTGTAGCAGACAGTTCAAGCTAATTGCAAGACTGAATTGGGAAGTGATATCATTGTGACTGACTTTTTATTTGTTAAAATTAAT